CACAGCAGCCCAGCTCCAGGTTGAGCTGTTGTTCAGCATCTTAGCTGTGGAGGGCAGTGTCACTGGCCCTCATATGTGGGATCCGAACTGGACCCTCTGGCGTTCCAAGCCAGCTCTTAACCATCGCGCCACTCAGCCGGCCCCTGATTCACTTTCTAATAGTAAGTTGCCACAGGGCCCTGGGTAGATGTCAGTAATGATGGGATAAGCCAACTTTAGCACCAGGGCTCTTTAACAATAGAAATGTAGAAAAAGGAAAATTTGAGACTCCACTTGAGAAAGTGACTCAGGCCTTTCCCCAGGCTCTTGTTTAAGGATGGTGGTAGCATGGGAAGATCCTAGAAAGAGAAACAGCAGGAAGAATGGGTTCTCAAAGGAGTTTTCATGACCTGACTTTGGTCGTTGTCATAGGAAAGTTGAGCGTAAAGGAGGAAACATGAAAATCTGGCCTCCAACCATTTTAACTTATAGTGAGAGCTCCCCCTTGTTGTGTCTCAAAGACAAATAATCACTCTTGAGAAGTGGCTTCCCTCTCTAAAAGTAGGTTGGCCATTAAGTAAGTGCCAGAGAACACGGACCCTATAAAAAGAGTGAGGATTGGACCTAAACTCCTAACAGGAAAAAAGAGCTTAGACATAAATCAAAGGTGGGACTATTTTTTTTTTTCTCAAATTAAAACTAGAGTGAGATGCTATGTCCTACCCTCTACCTCTAGAATGGCTGAAATTGAAAAGGCTTCAGTACCAAGTGTTGACCAGGTTGTGGAGCATCTGGAATTCTCACACATTGCTGGTGGGACTGTCAGATGTTACAATTTATGTAAACAAGTTCATGTTTAATAAAGTTAAATATAGATTTATAATATGACCCAGTCATTCCATTCCTAGATATTTATCCAAGAGAAATATGTCCACAAAAAGACTTACGCAACAGTATGCATAGCAGCTGTATTCATAATTGGCCAAAACTGGAAACAACCCAAATGACTATCATATGGTGACAAAACAACTTGTACAATGGAATACTACTGAAAATAAAAAGGAGCGAACTATGGATACGTGCCAACAATGTGGATGAATCACCAAAATATTATATTGAATGAAACAAGCCAGACAAAAAATATATATACTATGTGATTCCATTTATATGAAATTCAAGCAAAGGTGAAACAATTCTATAGTGACAGGAAGCTGGTCAGTGGTTGCCTGAGGTTAGCGGAAGAAGGGATTGGCTAGAAAGGGGCACAGGGAGTGTTCTGAGGTGATGGAAATATTCTACATCTTGATTATGGTCAGGGTTGCATGTGCGTATACATTTGTCAAAATTCACAAACTGCTTACTTAGGTTGGGTCCATTTTATTTCATGTAAATTACACCTTGATAAAGTTGATTTTGAAATAAAACAAAGGTGGGGTATTTTTAAATGACCACTGCAGCCCTCGTCCCATCTGCTGTGCTGTCAGATCATTTATTGCCATCGGTCTTCCATCCGGGTTGCAATCTTTCGGAGAATTGACATGATTGAGATGGTGGGTTTTCATCCCCGTCTT